GTGGTTGCCAGCCATCTGGAGAGTGAATCAGCAGATAGAAGACCTCTCTTTCTGTCTCTTCCCCTCTCTGTATAACACCAACTTTCAAAATAAATACATAAATCTTAAAAAAAAGTTTTGGTTTTTATTTTTACTCTGTTATTAAATCATGTGCATTTTGCTTTATGTCATGTTCCTAAAAGACTGGCATAGACCAAACGTCAATAAATTATTATCATCAGTAATAATAATCATCTCTTAACCTGTATTTCTGTCATATATTTACTTATATTCTGAAACTGGCCAGCATATATGTGTTCCTTTTAATAATGATACCCAAATTGCCTTATTTGAAGCAGATAAATAAGATTTAGAAGCATAACATTCCATTCATTAAACTCAATAGAAACCATGTTAATAACACTCAAATGAAGACTACAGTCTCAATATGGAATTAATAAATTATAATGAATATAATTGATGAAGAATGAGACAGAATTTATGCAACCACAGCATCTGGGTCACATGACTTTGTGGTGCAGAAAAAAAATAGTACAAACATAAAAACGTGTGCCTAAAGACGCTAGCCTATGGTCTAAATTGAATTGAGAATGTAAGATATATGATTCTGATTTCCCACCAGAAGTAAACCAGAAATGGAATTAACAGAGTAGAGTATGTATAACCTGGGGCAGGCACTGCGGCGTGGTGGGTGAAGCCTCTGCCTGCAATGCTGGCTTCCCAAAAGGCTCTGGTTCGAGTCCCAACTGCTCCACTTCCGATTCATCCGATTCAGCTCTCTTCTGTGGCCTGAGAAAGCAGTGGAAGATGGTCCAGGTCCCTGGGCCCCTGTACCTGCGTGGGAGACCCAGAAGAAGCTCCTGGTTCTTTGCTTCAGATCGGCACGGCTCAGGCCATTGCAGGCATCTGGGGAGTGAACCAGTGGAGGGAAGACCTCTCTCTCTGCCTCTGCCTCTCTGTGGCTCTGCCTTTCAAAAAAATAAATAAATCTTAAAAATAAAAAAAAAGTGTACAGAACTCAAATTAAGGAGAACTAGGTTCAGCTTTATCCCTACAACTAGTGGGGAGATGCAGGGCAACACACAAGAGATTACTTTCTCTTTCCTTTGAACTACATTATTAAGCATCCTTTAAATTCTAAATTTCCGTGATAGAACTTCTAGTTTAAAATGAGGTTATGGAAGCAGTTGCTACTATAAGCCCTTCCACTTCCCACACAAACAACCAATTTTTAAATGTTTATTTAAATATTTAAAAATGTCTCCCTTATTGTAAAAGTCACATTCACAGAACTCTTCAGCAAAGGTATAAGGAAAGCAAACAATTGACATGAATTTCACATTTCTATTTTACCTTCTGCCTATTCACTTGGAAAAGCAGTGCAATGGAATAAATAACCATTGACTTAGAAAAATGAATGCTATTTCCACTAAGTTACTGTATTTAGACTGTCTCAATAAAGTTAAATAAGTTTCATGTTTTTTAGATATTATTTTCTATAGTAAACAAAAATATGTTTGGGGAAAATAGATGTTTGTGATTAATGCCCTGAAATTTTTCTTTTCAAACAAAGCCATTCTCTGTCTCAGGCACCCCCTTTTTCTACTTCCCACTCTGCCCTTTTGATCAGCTTCATTTATAAAAATAACTCAGTCTTTCCTGGCCTCTGCTTCACACTCAGAATCCCTCACATGGAGGCTGGCACTGCAGCATAGTTGGCCACAGAGGCTTCTCTGCCTGTGGCATCAGCATCCCATACAGGCACCAGTTTGTGTCCCTGCTGCTCCTCTTCCAATCCAGCTCTCTGCTAATGGCCTGGGAAAGCACTGGAAAATGGCCCAAGTGCTTGGCCCCTGCACCCATGTAGGAGACCCAGAAGGTTCAGGCTCCTGGCTTCAGATCTACCTAGCTCCAGCCGTTGCAACATTTGGGGAGTGAGCAAGCAAATCGAAGACCTCTCTCTCTGCCTCTCCCTCTCTCTGACTGTAACTCCACCTCTCAAATAGATAAATAAAATCTTTTTTTTTTTTAAAAAAAGAGAGAGAGAGAAAGAAAAGAATCCCTTACATGGTTATAAGCCTCCAGGATTCTACCTCCTAGAGCAGCAACCACTTCTTATTTTCGTTTGAATATAATTTTCTTTGAACAAAATTAATTTTTTTCATGGAAAAAATGTTTTATGGATACATTTCCTATATGTGAGAAAAGTATTTAATACATTAGTTTTAAAGATATTAAATATCCCAAATATTCAAACTTCAGAGGAAAAAAAATCATGTTTTGTTTTTATGAAGGAAAACATCAAAGTAGCTTTCTGAAGCTTCTGACATCACAAATTTTCAAAAATTATTCACCCTTCCTAAAAACTAAACTTGTTTTATGCAATTTTATTTGCATAGCATGTCCTCCAAGAGGTTTTAACACACAGTTTTATTATGTTATTTTCAAACTAAACACAAACCACAAGCGTTCTCTTTGTCTTTCATTCCAGTTCCTTATTTGAAGAGTCACAAGGACTCCATTGTTCAGATTTGCATGCCTCAGGAAAATACATACTTGTGTAAATTATACTTACAAAACTTAGCATTTCTAGATATATCTCATTAACTTCTACACTAATTATAGATCTTCAAAAGGTTACAGCAGAGAGGCAGGACTATCTCTCAGAAAATATAAGATACAAGAAAACTTACACGTATAATCCTTCTTCCCAAACTCCATTGCACAGTTTTTATGTAAGTGAAAACTGGCTTGAAAGAACATTACTGGTAGTTTCTTTTTTGGATGAATCCTCTTAGGAAAGGAATATATGCATTCATTCCTCAAACATTTATCGAGTGTCTAGTACACCAGTCTCTGTGCAATGGCCACATACACGGTGGAAGCCTGTAGGAGGCTCTTTAAGGAAAAAAAGGAAGAAGCCTGGCAAATTAATCACAGTGGCTGTACTACTTTATGTTTCACCTGCCCACTCACGGAGGTACTTATTTCTCCTCAAACTACCCCTGTGCCTGCGTCACTATGGAAAATCTGCTTCCCTGAGTCACTGGCCATCACCCAGGCTCCATGAATGGGTAGGATAGGGGCATTCACCACCATTCACCATTGCCCTCAGGACAGATCTCTTTCAAGATGAATTCAACAAGATTTTCAGGAGTTATTTGCAGAAAAGCTATTTTTATCTCTGATAGAAAAAAAAAAAAAAAAAACAGGAGATGTGGCACAAGTTTGTTCTGCCATTCCATAGCAGAAAATTCATACACTTTTCACCTGGCTTATATACAGAATAGGAACAGCAAGTATATTTGGTAATCAGAAATCAGGCCTCAGCTTTGCAACTACATAATAGTGTGCCTTGTATGCTCAAGGCATTCCTCACGTAAAGAAGCAAATAATGGTTCTTTCCCTCCGTGATAACAAGGAAGGACGAAGTTCCAGTGTCTTTGATATGTCATGTATAAATGAAAATATGGAATTGATATATCTTGAAAAATCTTCTCTGTATCAGACACTTACAAATGCTGGAAAAAAAATATTCCCATTTTAATACATAATTAAGCTTGGAAAAAAGTAAGAGAAATTCTCAAGGGAAAAACAGAGGCAAACCTTACCCAGAGTAATAAACTAGCACTAAAGCACATCTGTATTCAGCATTTTCTAACTTCATTACCTGGAATCTGAATCTTCTACAACCCAGAAAACTAGATAGAAGGCTGAGCCAATACATCTTCAGAGACTATGTGTACAGGACAAACCAGTCACCAGCAAAGATTGGTGACACAGAAATATGTTTACTTTGGCATAATAGCAGGCTTGTGCTTTCCTGAGTTTATCATTTAAACTTTCGCTACCTGTGTGGTCCAAGGAGCCCAAGCCAAGAAGATAACAGCAGCCCTTGGTGGAAGCATCTGGCCAACTGAGAGAACATGATGCAAACCTGATTCAAAGGTATGCAACATCAGGCTAGTTCTCAGAGGTTACACAGTCTCAGTGTACAGAAACCTAACAGGCCTCTCTGTCTAGATTAGACAAATGGACAGCAGTCCCTTTTTTTTTTTTTTTCAAGGAAAAGAACAACTTGCCTAGCTTTGATAGTGTTGCCTTATATACATCAGAGAAAACAGTAAGATTCTAATTGGTGTCCTGAAATCTAGTCAGGAAAGACAGAATGATGCATGAGGTGCTCAGGAAAAAAACAGAAACTAAATAGGATCACTCTCGCTTCTCAGTTACAAGCTGGAGACCCAGAACTGAGAGCATCTCCGACTTCCTGGGGGACCAAGAAAACAGATTTAGAGCAGCTGCCAAGAGGAAGCTAAGACTATGGGCAGGTAGTGACTAAACTTTACTGAATGGCAGGAGCATGATCATAATGAAAGGCATCTTTAAAGCAAGTCATTTGAATAAATGCAGACAAAATTGGTACCTATTTAAATGCATTTTGTGCTGGCAACAGTGCCTGGTGCTCAGTTTTGTGTTTCTCACCTGTATTGCCATTATGTCTGGCATTCATAGAAATCAGAAGCCAAAGGTAGATTTTTTTTCTAGTGGACAGCAATCCAGAAGGAACAAAACCAGGAACTCTGGGCTACAGAGTCCAAAACTTGCCCTAGAAGACTTGCCGAAGGAACTAGGGAAGTGTAGCTGGAGAAGTGACTATTTTGAGTCTTCAGTTGTTCCACACTCACTGTGACGATTCCAAACAGTTCACTTTTAATAATTCTCAACAGTTTGGTAGCAAGTACTTATAGTGGTGGCCTACTTACTTGCATTCAGTCTTACCTTGTAAAAAAGGATTTTAAACCAGGCTATACATTTTCTAAAACTAGAAAAGCCAAATTATTCTGAAAAAAAAAAAAACTGTTATAATGAAGTTTTCAAGAAGCTATGGTTTCTGCTCATCTGATCACTTCAGAGGGTCTGATAATGTTAGATAAAACCTCCTATCAGCAATGCACTGCTCTCCTACAGTACTACTTTCCATATTCAACTAAACCTCTCTTTGCATAGATATGTGTATGTAAAAACAGAACATTCATATCAAGACCAGAGTTCCACGGAAGTTAATCACAGGTAAAGTCCTTGCATATCTGGAAAAAGAAAATGGTGGATGTCTTATGAAACTTTAGAATCTTGGTTTCAAAGGGATCATCACAAAGAGAAAATAAAATATAGCATTGTGGACCACGCAATGTGATGTATTTGTAAGTATGGGCTTCCGTAAAATAGTTGATAAATATGTGTTGGCTTGATGTAAGCAACTTGTGGGTGGTATTTTTTTTTTAACAACAGGACTGCTAGGAGTGTTGGCAGGGTATCTTCTAAGGAAAAGACAACTGGTAAGCCCATATTCTTTCCCTAGCCTAGGCTTTCTATACCTGAAACTTAAAATCACCTTGTAAATAAATGTTTTCTATGTTGGGCAGCAGAGAAAATATTTCAGTTTTTGAGTAAGGTATGGGCTTTCATGTTATGTGGGTCTTTTTTTTGTGTGTGGGTATGTGTGTATATATTTAAAGATATATTATAAAATCAGACATTTCAGAATTGCTTCAAAAATCATGGATTATTAAATGATTAGTTCCATCCATTTATTATTTCTACTAATTCCTCATGTAGATTGTTGTAAGGTTTATCTGAAGTAACATTAATCTTGATTTTACGAAAATTTCTTCATCCCTTCATATTATACCTAATATATCAGTTGCTTGCTTTTGAAAGGGCACAAATTTAGCATGCTATGGCAAACAAAATCTTATCAAAATGTAAATTTCTCCATATTTTTCTACATTTTGTCTAATTTGGATATCATAAAATAATGAAACATTTAAATGTAGATATTATATATAAACAGAAAGAATTTAGTGATTGCCTATAAAAGTATGTGAATATGTTAAAAGGTCTCATTTAAGAAAAATTATTTATTTTAATATCAATTTAAGATTTTATTTAAATGTTAGAAGAAGCTTGAATCTACTTCTGGCTTAACATATATTCAATTCATTACTAACTCTCTATTTATAAGTACTCTAAGTCCATCAATGAAAAGTATTCTTTCTTTTAAATGACTATCAAGAGAAAACATCAGAGCCAAAATCATTACAAAGAAATAAACATGTTTGAAATATTCTATGTTTAAGTGGTGAAAGTGTATGCCAGTTTTTACTAAGAGGGTATTGAAAAAGATTAGCAAATTAATGTGTAATGTTAAGAAAATATAATTTCTTAAAAGCAACAGAAAGTACAAATAAGATAATATAGGAATTTTATAACAGTCTCATGAAATTCATAAAATCTAGACAAGGAGGATAATAAGTCAAAGTAGGGATAACCATATCCAGCACTTATGAATTGGAAAAATTATTCACTTAAAAGTTAAGGCAGGGTATTTATAGAAATTCTTGCCAAATATGCATTCTCTAGGAAGCACATAAAAATCATTTTTTTGGTTTTGTTATTATTTTATTCTTAGCTCAAAGGAATGTTTCCACATCTCAAACCACTAACATGAGAAAAAAAATGGAGATTGTTCATCTGAAGCTTGGCGGGTTTATCCACAACATAATGAAAGCCACAACTGATGATATTCATGAGTTTAGGTCATTCTTTCACTGGGAACTCTTTCTTTTTGCCAATATACAATTGTAGTTCTATGGACTATTTGAGGTTAGTTTTTATTTGTATCAGTAATTGAATAAACCAAAATTGTCTTTAGTTGGATTCAAGTAACAAATTTTATCAACAACATGTTTTCATCAAGTCCTTATCCCTAAAGAATTGTACTTTTTTAAAAGATCTATTTATTTTGAAAGGCAGAGTGACAGAGAAAGACAGACAGAAAGATACAACATACACAGATGTCTTTCATCTGCTGGCTAACTCCCCAGATGGCCTCAACAGCCAGGGTAGGGTCAGGCCAAAGCCAGAATCCAGGAACTCCAACTTGGTTTTCCACATGGATGGCAGAGGCACAAGTACTTGGAGCATCTTTTGTTGCCGTCCCAGGTACATTAATAGGAAGCTGGAATGGGAGCAGAGTAGACTGGATTTGAACCAGCACTCTGATATGGAACACCAGTATTACAAGAGGCAGCTTAATGTGCTGCACCACAATGCCATAGTTCTCAAATGTGAGATGGTGAGACGTTTCACTTTGCCACTCTATATTCTGGTATAAAAATTGGAAATGGAGTTGAATTGTTTAATCTTATCATTAAATGATTTATTTAATGATAAATTTAATAACTTATTTAATAATATCCATCCACTCCCGAATACAGGATTGCAAACATTTAATTTTAAAGCACTAGTTACTTTGGAAATTATGTCTTCAGATTACAAATGATGTTTTCTTCATTTTTTTCAGATGAAATTACAAAGGCTATCTTTTCTCTGCCATTTTAGAGATAAGAAAATTTTGATTTCATATGCTTTCCATATTCCAAAGTTATTTATAAATATTGGGTCCTTTTCTTTCTCCTTGTTTAACCCTTTTCCTACTTCATGCCTAAACCTTGCATATTCCTTTCCTATAGTTTTGCTAGTGTTATGGTTGGAAGAGATGTTAAACTCAGGAAGTCAATATGACCTTTTTAACAAAAGCTGGGCTAAATATTTGTGAATTTATCTCTGTTTCAGTATAGAAGACGGTATGGAGACACAAGGAGTATTCTGTGATGTTCCAGCAAAGTGGTGACCCATATGATGTGAAGCCAGCAGTAACTACATAGGAAGGCAGGTATGTGGGCAGAAATTAAGGCTAAGCAATCTCAGGAGACAGGGGGCAGGGTATTGGGCACTGGGCAGTGGCCTGGAAGCAGGACGCCAGTTCCTGGGACAGTATCCAACAAGTCCTATATTTTAAAGGACTGGAAAACCAGATAATTTCAAAAACACAACTCTTATAGTCTATTTATTCTATACGCGGTACACCTTTACATACTTCCATCACTAAATATTTTGTGTAATTGTTGTTACCTTTATTATAGTATATTCTATTTGTGCCTCATTACTTAATAAATTTGTGAATGGTGACTTAGAATACTAAGCAACTACTTTTTTGGGTTTATGAAATAACATTTGAATATAGCATTTCAGGCAACTTTATACCCTTACAGGATTAGATAGATCAGGAAAGATTAATAACATTATTTTTTTTGGTTTTGTAGTTATTTTCTTTTTAAAAAAAACTTTTATTTAGTAGATGTAATTTCCAAAGTACAGTTTATGGATTATAATGGCTTTTCCTCCCCCATAACTTCCCTCCTACCCACAACCCTCCCATCTCCCACTACCTCTCCCCTTCCATTCACATCAAGATTTATTTTCAATTATCTTTATATACAGAAGATCGATTTAGTATATATTAAGTAAAGATTTCATCAGTTTGCACCCACACAGAACATAAAGTGTAAAATACTATTTCAGTACTAGTTATAGCATTAATTCACATTGGACAATACATTAAGGACAGAGATCCCACATGAGAAGTAAGTACACAGTGACTCCTGTTGTTGACTTAGCAAATTGACACTCTTGCATCAATCTCCCTAGGCTCTAGTCATCAGTTTCCAAGGCTATGGAAGCCTCTTGAGTTCGTTGACTTCCATCTTATTTAGATAAGGTCATAGTCAAAGTGGAAGTTCTCTCCTCCCTTCAGAGAAAGGTACCTCCTTCTTTGATGGCCCGTTCTTTCTACTGGGATCTTACTCAGAGATCTTTCATTTAGGTTTGTGTTTGTTTGTTTGTTTGTTTTGCCAGAGTGTCTTGGCTTTCCATGCCTGAAATACTCTCATGGGCTCTTTAGCCAGATCCAAATGCCTTAAGGGCTGATTCTGAGGCCAGAGTGCTATTTAGGACATCTGCCATTCTATGAGTCTGCTGTGTATCCCACTTCCCATGTTGGATCATTCTCTCCCTTTTTTATTCTATCAGTTAGTATTTTCAGACACTAGTCTTGTTTGTGTGATCCCTTTGACTCGCCCAGATGTGTCTGAAGCCCTGTAGCAGACTCAGCTAATTATGAAACCCAATCACTAATGTAACACATGAACAACAAAAAACATAGAAGCTGCACTGAAATTTAAAAAGAGGAAAGAATGTGTGGCAGAAAGTATTTTCTATATCTATAAAAAAGTTTGGGAAATATTTCCTTAGTGAAAGACTGCAAGAAGTTGAAGGAAGATCAGATAAACTGTAAGTTTTGGCATGTACACATTTTTCTAATCTTAACAGTTCCATTTCAGAGAAAAGACAAGTGGGAATCAGAGTTGAGTTAATATGCCTCAGATCACACAGTGAGCAAGAGACTAAACTCAAAAGCCTAAGTCTGTCTGTCTTCAGAGCCCAGAACCATTTGTGTATACTCCATTAGCTTTCACAGTGCTGGGACTCCTCTGAACTCAGTGCATCTGAAAATGACCTTCTCAGTGCTTCTGACTCCCACAAGTGCTGCACCCTGAGGCTGTTCTGCTTTTGCCAAACAACTCTTTTTAAAATTAAAACTATAATAACCTATAGATAGGCCGGCGCTGCGGCTCACTAGGCTAATCCTCCACCTTGCGGTGCCGGCACACCGGGTTCTAGTCCCGGTCGGGGTGCCGGATTCTGTCCTGGTTGCCCCTCTTCCAGTCCAGCTCTCTGCTGTGGCCAGGGAGTGCAGTGGAGGATGACCCAAGTTCTTGGGCCCTGCACCCCATGGGAGGCCAGGAGAAGTACCTGGCTCCTGCCATCGGATCAGCGCGGTGCACTGGCCGCAGCGGCCATTGGAGGGTGAACCAACGGCAAAAGGAAGACCTTTCTCTCTGTCTCTCTCTCACTGTCCACTCTGCCTGTCAAAAAAAAAAAAATAACCTATAGATAGACATACATCTGAGTCACACAAAATCTGCACTCCTGGTCCCAGTAGATGAAGTGAGGAGAAAGTAGGATACAAAAACTATTGCTTAAAGCAGAGAGTAGGGAGAAATCAAGTGGCAGAAGACAGGGATGACTAATTACACTGATAATGTGAGATGAAGGAAAGAAGTTCTTTGTCACCCTCCTACTTACAATCTAAGCAGAGAGCCTTTCTGATCACACAGAAGATAATACTGAAACTTCAACTCCATTAAATGTACTTCAGGACCCAACTACATACAGGATCAGTTATAGACTGCCAGTCAGTGTCATGGTTTTCTTAGTCTCAATTATTTCAGTGTTAATCACCTTCAGTCAGATTTATCTTTCTAGAAACAGGGTTTTATTTTCATCATATTGCTATGGAAAGACTTCAGTGAACTACTACTGTCGACAAAATGGAGTCCAATACCTTTAGCCTTACATTTAAAGTAATTATCTAACTGCACACTCAAACATAACTCTACAGTAAGCTCTTTTCCTTTTGCTGAAGCTACTTTGAATCTACACTTTCGATCAAAAGAATCCACTCCTCTTCCACTTGGTTCCTTCCTGTGGACATGAGTACATTTAAATTCCTTCTCCTGTCTACAGCCATACCATCCTGAACGTGCCCGATCTCATCTAAATTCCTTCTCCTTGGTCATCTTCCCGTACAGGGGAGATCTACACAGAAAGTGAAATCCATCAGATCACACCTCCCGTAATTTTTTTTCTTCAGATCTACAAATGTGCTTGAATTGATGCCTATGCTTTCACCACCTCTTCCAACAACAAAAGAACAGTAACTTCTGTATTCCCATTTCTCCAAAACGGCAGCACCACATTCTGGATTCTAGCCCCTCCTTCTTTCTCAGGAACCTGATTATTCTTGCTTTCTCCTGTGTCTTCAACCTCTGTCCAGGATTATCGTTGGCTAACTTCAGAATATGTCACCCACACTGCAGGCTTTATTGTAATGATGCCCTCTAGAAATATGCAGGCCAGAAGGGCTAAATGGCAGAGTCTTGTCTCTGTCTCTAGTGTATCTGTCAGCAGCTTTCACAAGGCAAGAAAAAGTTGAAGGATGGACAGAGGAAGAAGGAGAGGGAGGGAGTGGGGAGAGACAGATGACAAGTAGCTCTCCACAAGTAGCCTCACTTTTTCCTGGGTGCCACTTCTACTTGTTTTCTTCTCTTCCTTGTTTCTGTCCTCCCTGCCCCACTAAAACTCTCACCAAGGTCATTAATGACTTTTGGTTAAAAACTCTAACAGCACTTTTCAATCTTTGGGTCTCTTAACCTCCCTAGCTTTTTAACACTGAATTATCCACTCTGTTGTTTTTTATAAACACATTCCCACTCCTGTGATTTCCTTGATGCAAACTCCTCTTTCACAGCCTGTGTGTCCTCAATGGTTGTATCCTTCAATCTCTCCTCTGGGGCTATATTCTTTCCTTAGTTCACACTCTCTGGAACTCTCTGGAACTTTTTAGCTTCTCTGTGAATTCTGTGAAAACTTCCCCCCACCTCATCTTCCTTGCAATCAAATCACTTAACTCACTTTATTTCTCTCACCTTCCAGAACCAGTGCATAACAGTTCCGATAGTTCTTCTTCCAAAATCCCTAACATCTACCACCTTCCCTCCAACTCTATGATCACCCTCCAACAATCCCTCACCTGGACTCCTCTGGTCTCCCTGATTCCACTGTCAAGCACACTACAATCCATTACACTCACAAAACCAGTTTCAGACATCAACATGGCTATTCACAATTTTAAATCTTCAGTGGTTTTCCAACTTCTAACCACAAAATCCAAAGCCTACATTGTTTAATATGCTTGGTTTCTAGCTATTCTAACAATTTCACCTCCCAACACTTTCTCTTTACAATGAATATTTATGAACATAATCATTGATCCAGTCTTACCTCTCTAGCCTTTTCTCTGAGTGCTCTCACTCTCGCTTGTTCCTGTACTCTCTTTGTCATGCTCCAGATTCATGTAATAACTAAACTCCTGTCCTTTCTTCCATAAGGACACGACCCATTGCCTTTTAACCTTTGCCCAAGTTGCCCTTGTTTCATTCAACACTTTCCTGCACATCTTGTTTATTCCAACTCAGACAGTGCTTTACCACATCCCTTTATGTCTGGCTAGTTTCTCCTCCTGTGTGTACTCACAGCCTCCATACTTCCTGTATCAAAGTCGCCACCTCATGTATTTTATTGTCAGTGATGATGTGAATAGGAGAGACAAGATCTATGTGGATCAATGGCAGACAGAACTTGGCACAGAAAAGCAGATGCTTTTAATGAGTCAGTAAAAGCTGATATAAAAATCATTGTTTATCCCTAATTCATTGTCTATAAGTGGAGTATATGTTTAGCAAACTATCACACATTCATTCTAATATGTGGATTGAATTATTCTTAAATTTTTAAGCTATTTTCTCACAGTCTAGAGTTTAAAAATCTCTATGAAATCTGTTTTTATGCAGAAGTGCCTGAGCTGGGTAAATTCTATCTGAATTTAAAAGTCAAGGGTACAATGCCCAAAACGCATGAACCTAGATAAGCAATTCCCCTCTCGTAATTCACCCCTAAGGAGGTTTATTTTTTATTTTGCTATTTACACATTTTATCAGGCTAATTACAAAGAGAAAAATTCCTATTCAATACATCAACAGAGCTTTCTAAAAATCAGAATTGGCCAAAAAAGCAAGCACTGGGAGTTGGTGAAATCATTGACAGTGGGTTCTAAATGAAAATATCCTTTTCAGAGGTCTGTTCATTTTTAAATCCCACTATTTGATGCATAGGAGGGTCAAATGAGTTCCAAATTCACTTACAAATTCAAGTACCTATGTTTCTATGAAATATTTATAGGAGATGGGTCATTTTATTCCCCTTTCTCTTCCCTAACCCCACCAGTGATTGCATTCTGTTAACTTCAAGAGCCCATCCTTATTTTCTCATGATGTATAATTTGTATGTTCTTTAAAAATGTAACTCTGACATAATTATTTTAAATGACTAAACTATAAAAATACATATTTTATTTTTTAGGAAAATGAATAGGAGAAATTGTTGGATTTGTAAGTTGTGCAAAGACAAATCTAAGAGGCCCCTTTCAAAGTAAGTGACATTTAAATTCTATGAGTATTTTTTCACATGATAAATAGGTATGTTGTTACTCAACTACCACCCTAAGACATTTTGTTGAGAAAACTTTGCATTTATACAAGAATAATTCCACCAGAATAATCATTTATGACACTAAAGTTCCATTTTCATTTTTATTGTAATTTACACTTGATAATCCAGCAAGTTCAATGTTTTCAGAGCATCTATCATGAATATTTTAAGTTTTATATTGCTTATGCTAAAGTGATATTTTTTGATAGAAATATTTTTACAACTTAAACCTATCATATATAAAATGCAAGAAACCTTCATCTTGAGATTGAGGAAGCAAGATTAGAAAGATAATTAACTGCTTACCAACCTCCCAAGTTTTCCATGTTTTGCCATTATTAAAAATATAGCCATTTGAATGGGAACAATGGTCAATTAAAATGAAAAATATAATGCCTGAGAAAGGCAACAAGCTCTTCAACTGGATCTGCTAACTTCAAAGAATTCACAGATCAAAGATCCCTGTGAGGTTAACCATTAGTGCTTATCTTAGTCCATGCCAATACCTCAATTCTGGCCACAATATCCAGTATGCTAATGGCTCCTGGCATGCCTGCTCCTCCACTGAAGTACCAAATTGTCCAAACATGCTTGCAAGCTACCATGGGGTGGGGAGGAGGGGGCTGCAGTGGTGAATAAGAGAATAAGAGAATAAGCTAAAACTGCTGAGTTACACAGGCATATCCAAAAAGAGAAGGAACAGACTAATTTGGAAACAGCTTCTTTTTTTTTTTCTCCTGATGAATGCCACAGAATGTCACTGTCAGAGCTTGTTCTTACAACCTGGCCTGTATACCCACTAGAGAGGAAGAAGAAAGCCAAGTAGAGAGCATAATTCACATTCATGAAAGGCTGCCAGATAATATTCATTTGATAGGCACTGTGCATTCATTATCTAAATTAACTTCTATAATTTTATGAGACACATACTATTATCTTCATTTTATAGATAACAAAATGGGAATTTAAGTTCAGTAATACCAAAACTATTAAACAAAGCACTGAGATTAGAACCTAAGACCGTCAGACTGTACGCTTTCCTCCTCCATTGGCAATGTCATGATGGCGCAACACGTTCCTGTATCTGTTTGGTATCCACTGCCTATCTTTCCAAAAGGAAGGAGAGGACATAAAATTGGAGAATTTGTATCAGTAAATCCAGGTATAAAAGGAATCTTAGAATAATCCTGCTATGGGTACCTGGATGGCCACGGGCTAGAATGAAACTTGTGAGATACAAAAAAAATTGTAAGAAAGTTTCATTTCACTACTTTACCCCAAACCATAATTACTCTAATCAGAATCTATCTCCACATAATCTCATGAATCTTATAGGCCAAGGAATTCTCTTACCAACAATTACCAACACTTAATTTTAAACTAACCCAACACAGTGATGGCATTTTTGCTGGTGATGTAGATTTTATTTTTTCCTATTTAAAGGACACGATCAAGGCAGAAAGGCCTGCAATGATTCTTGCCTAGCAGTTTGTATTTCATTAGATTTTAAAAAAATATGTTATTTGTTTATTTTCACTTTACTTGAAAAGCAGAGAGAGGTCTTGCAGCTGCTGGTTCACCTCCCAAATGCCTGCAATGGCCAAGGCTGGGCCTTGCCAAAGCCCGAAGCTCAGAACTCAATCTGAGTCTTGGATGGCAGGGACGTAACTCCTTAGTCATAGCCTGCTCCCTCACAAGGTGCACATTAGCAGGAAGCTGGATAGGAAACAGAACTGCTAGGACTCAAATGAGGCACTTTGATATGGGATGTGGACATCCCAATCAGAGGCTTATCTGCTGCACTGAACACCTGCACCTTCATTGGATTTAAAAGGTTATTTTAGCTTACTCTTTCTCAAGTTCCAACAAGAGGAAAGAGTAATGAGTCAGATATAATTTCATGGAAATATTTTTTTGAAAGCAATCTTAACACAACATACTGTTAAGCCTCAGTACTGATGCAAACAGTCCATCCAAAGCTGGCAATATCTACCTGAATTTTCAAAAAATATAAGATATTTGATCTCTTGAAGACTACCAATATTTTTCCATGGTCCAGGTCATTTTTTAACCTCTTTAACTAATCTGCTTTAATTGTGTTAAGAACCTGTTAATACTGATGGCTGCTCCTTTAGCACTAATTATTCACCCCTGCAGCTTCCACCTCTCCACTCCACAGAAGCTGTACCAAGTACAGCCAATGGACAGCTCTTCTTTGTATTTACAACAGTCTTCAATTTCTGCAGATACCAGAAAAATCAAAACTTAACCATAAACTGAATGGCAATAAACACATTAACTATCTTAAAGCAGAGAAAATTAAATTACATGTATGTGAAACTACACAGTCACCTCATGAAGCAAGCTCACCAAAATAAAGAGGAGGGCAGGGTAGAAAGTATCATTATGCTCTTAAAGCTGTATATATAAAGTACATGAAGTTTATTCCCTTTTTATAAATGAAAAAAGTTTTAAGAAAAAAAAAGAAAGGAAGCTTCAATGCCAGCATCTTTCACAAAAATTTCTAAATGGCAAATGGCTTTATTTATACTATTTAGGCAAAATGCAACTTGACATCTATTATAACAAAACTTAGAGCCCTCAAAATGCCAAAAAAATTATTGCAAGTAACAGCTCAAGAAAAGAACAGGTATATAATTTTAATCCAAGAGCAAATGTAGGGGCCAACGTTGTGGCATACTGGGTAAAGCCTCAGCCTGTGACGTCGGCATCCCGTATTGGTGCTAGTTCAAGTACCAGCTGCTCCACTTCTGATACAGTTCCCTGCTAATGGCCCAGATGGCCCAAGTTTTTGGGCCCCTGCAGACCTGAAAGAATCTCCTGGCTCCTGGCTTTGGCCTGGCCCAGCCCTGTCCATCTGAGAAGTGAACCAGCAGATGAAAGACTCTCTCTCTCTGTCTCTCCCTCTGTCTCTGTAACTCTGTATTTCAAATAAATAAATAAACTTTAAAAAAAGAAGAGTAAATGTAAATAGGTTTTGTGGATAAACTCTAAAGCTCTAATAGATTGTTGGTTGCAGAAGCACAGAATGCAAATATACATCGTTGGTTATTTGTACCAAGAATCTTAAAAACATGCACCCTTTTTACTCCCTTCAATTCTACTTCTACTAACTTCTTAATGAATGACCCTAACAATATGACCACCTGGACTATATTTGGCTTTTAAAGGTAAAACAATTAGAAATATTCAGAGAAGAAAATAGGCTAGTGATTAAGACACCACTTGGGATGCCTGCATCCCACATTGGAACGCCTGAGTTTTAGTCCAGCTCCTCGCCCAATTCCAGCTTCCTGCTAATATGCAACCAGGGAGAAATCAGGTAATGAATGGCTCAATTACTTGGGTCTCTGTCACCCATGTGAGAGACATGAATTGAGCTCCCAGCTCCTGATTTTGGCCTGGCCAACTCCAGCTTTTGCAGGTATTTGAGGAGTGAACCAGTGGAAACAGGATTGATCTCTCTCTCTTCCTCCCCCATCCCCCCTTCTCCCTCCCCTCCCCCTCTCCCTCTCCCTCTCTCTGTTTGAAATGATCAAAATGCTTTTTGAGAATAACTGCATAAACTATGTAATGCCCCCTTGTAGAATAAGCCATAGTCACTAAAATGATATGACTATCAATGATTGTAACTATGAATTATAACACGATGTGGTTAAGACAATTGTGATGGCATATACATCACTTATTAAAAGAGTACACACACATATGAAGTATGCACACACATACATAGAACCTGATTATTTCTTGATTAAAAAAAGACACCAATACACACATAACAAAAAAATTTTTAAATTTATCAAAATACTAATACTAGTAATTTGGAAATAGGAGTTATTGGGGTTACAGCTCTTTATCTTTTTATTTTTTTATTTATTTATCTATTTTTTGACAGGCAGAGTGGACAGTGAGAGAGAGAGAGCCAGAGAGAAAGGTCTTCCTTTGCCATTGGTTCACCCTCCAATGGCTGCCACAGCCGGTGTGCTGCGGCCAGCGCACCACGCTGATCCGAAGACAGGAGCCAGGTACTTATCCTGGTCTCCCATATGGGTGCAGGGCCCAAGGACTTGGGCCATCCTCCACTGCACTCCCGGGCCACAGCAGAGAGCTGGCCTGGAAGAGGGGCAACCGGGACAGAATCTGGTGCCCCGACCGGGACTAGAACCCGGTGTGCCGGCGCTGCAAGGCGGAGGATTAGCCTATTGAGCCGTGGCGCCGGCCTACAGCTCTTTATCTTTTTAAAATTTATTTTATCATAATTTCAAGTATATACTACTTTTTTAATTTTTTAAAATTTAGATAGTAAAAGTAAAAATTTAAGAGATCATAGGAAGGTAAACTTCCATTCCAAACCACACAAAAATGGAGCATAATTCTATTTTGGTGCTGTTTTTCAGATAATATAGTTCAGTTCAGCAAACCTTGAGAATATTTTAGCCTTATCAGCACTTTTTGTTTCTTTTTTTAAAGCCTTACTTTGGAGGAAGTGTTACAATGGGCCCAGTCTTTTGAAAATTTGATGGCTACAAAATGTGAGTATTATGCACACATCACTTCTGAATACCCAGCCAGTTTTCTTCTTAGGAGAAATGTATGCCTTTTCTCCTCACAGCCTTCTAAATGACAACTGACATAGCTAAAAAAAGAAAACCTGAAAATAGTTTATCGTGTCAACCACTATTATTTTCTTTGGTGTTAATTAAAACAAGATTAGTCACTGTGACTATTTATTCTTCACAAGTATATGTGTAAAATCCCTTGGAAAATATGCTTAAATAGTAACACACTCAGAAATATACTGCCTTACCATGACCTTCTAAAGTTAGTACTTAAGAAAATTAAAAATCTGCTGTTTTTAGTGCCTTTAAAAGCAAGAATAAATTTAAGTCTTTATGTTCTAAAAGACTTCCTCAAAGTTTGTTTCTAACCTTATCAGTGTCTGATTAATAAGACTCTAGATGGGTTCTGGATAGTTGTATGTAAGTATCAAGAGCTAGATGGTATAAATGAAATAACAATGGATGTGAGGCAAATAAAATCACAGGTGCCAGGCAGGAACCATGAAGAATAATGTGCATTCTGGTGAACAGACAACTGTGCTGGTGTGGAAGATATGGAAAATGATGAAAACAGAAGATATCAAAAAAAATATAGTATGTACTTAGAGAAATTAATTTGTTGAACTTGGCTTTTATTTTTTAAATGAAATTAGTCACTCTCAATTTTTTTTTTAATTTTTGCCTATTGACCTACCTTTTTGCATATAGACCTATCTTTTTATTTTAAGATCCCTTTTTTGGCTCTTTGCAAATCTTTAACCTTTTTAAAGGTAGTGACTGTGGAGGAGAGTTAGCTGTGCTACTTAGATGTTTCAATAGGGGGTGCTGGTTACTCCAGACAAGATACCTCCTATTCCTCTGGAGTTTGGCCATGCTCCAGGGGCAAAATATACTCTCCCTCACTCAAGGGACCCTCTTTATGGACACAGCTAGCTCTGCCTAGCCCAGAGAGCAATGATGGTAGGTGTGGAGCCCTGGTTCAATTCTCCTCCAGAGACACCTGAATCAGTCATTCTGGAACTTACTTTATGGTCCCTCCCCTAGTGCTAGGATCTATATACCTCCAGGCTTGGGTTACCACTTGAGCTCCCACTTTTTGTAGATGTTTCCCATGAGCAGTTGTGGCTATAGCTTTTTGGATGTAATCATAAACTATTCCTCTCACTTTTTAGGTATTCCACACTGTTTGTGATCCAGTTTGCAGCATAATTGTGAATTTTTAAAAATCTATCTTTTAAGTCAATTTGAGGACATTGAAATGGGAGTAAGAGACAAATATATATGCTTAGTGGGTTATAATAATTTATCCTCTGCTAATAGTTTGATTTTTAGTCTCAACCTTCTATAATCCATGTTTTGCAAATTTGCCAAATTAATCTCTGTCTTGGAGTTTCTTATACTTCATCTATAAAGTAAGAATAATATCAACTACCTGTTCAGCATTATTGTGCATGTTAGATATAAAACACCCTGCTCAATGTCTTACACAGATTAGGCACACAGTATTTGGTAGTTACTTTTATTAATAATAAACTATATGTCTCTGAATATCATTCATTTTTCTCTGTTCCATATGAAAAAGGCTAAAATTTTGGTATTCAAAACTCCCTAACATAACACATTTTTTTTATTTAATGAATGCATTTTTACATAGAAACAACTTTAGGAATACAGTGGTTCTTTTCCCCAAGCCCTCCACCCTGCTCCCATCCCACCTCCCATTCCCTCTCCCATCTCCTTCTTCATTATGGATCATTTTTAGTATGACTTTATATACAAAGGACCAACTCTATGCTAATCATAGACTTAAACAATTTGCCCCCATGCCCACACACAACATATAGAGAACAGTTTGGGGAGAGAATTTGCAGTTGATTCTCATAATTCAATAGGGATAAATGTCCTACATGGGGAGCAAGTGCACAGTGAATACTGTTGTTCCTTTAACAATTAACACTCTTTTTTTGTGACATCAGTGATCATCCGAGGCTGCCAGGGCTATGGAGGCCTTTTGTGACCATAGACTCCGTCAGTATTTGGACACGGCCATAAGCAAAGAGGATGTTCTCCTCTCCCTTCAGAGAAGAGTGTCTCCTTTTATGACCCTTCCTTTCCTCTGAGGTCTCACAGAGATCTTCTGATAACAGATTTTTTAAATTTATCTCTCACTATGTTCCTTCACTTAACAGACCTTGCACCAATGTGACCGTCATTATTTTAACTTTTATTTAATAAATACAAATTTCGAAAGTACAACTTTTGGACTACAGCAGCTTTTCCCCCCATAACTTCCCTCCCACCCGCAACCATCCCATCTCCCACTCTCTGTCCCATCCCATTCTTCATCAAAATTCATTTTCAATTATCTTTATATACAGATGATCAACTTGGTATATACTAAGTAAAGATTTCAACAGTCTGCACCCACACAGATATCAATGAGACCATCATTCTGTTTTCCATATGTCCATCCATGCCTCTCCTGCCCCCAGACTTCTGTCCAAAGACCTTTCCATTTCCTCTATATACTCTGCTTATCTTTGATAGTAAAATTAAAGTTCTATCTCTTCCATGAAACCTCTTGTAAATATTTTTCTAATATTTTGCCCCTAATTGTAGCTGATTTGCATATTAGGGTTTTTCCACATATGCATTCTCAACCGTGTAAACTCCTTCAGATCACATATTGCCTATCATCTACATTTCATCCTTCAGAGAGACTAAAAACATGTTTTGTATCTAATGGATATGAAATAAGTGTTCATTGAATAAATACAAGGCAAATATTAGTAAGAAAAGTTCAAAACAGCTGTATCGTGTAAGCTTCTGTAATTATTTGTCAAAGATCTTAAGTAAGTTCCCATCTAGCTAGAATCATCAATTTACAGATCTAGTGTCAGGAAAAGAAGCAAAGTCTACAGAAAAGATTAAGACAGAAAGACAAAGCACTGTTTATAAAGGCAGTAAAAACCTTGCCATAAACTGAATTATTATGAAATTCATGTGAAAATTCAACAATCACATAATAAAATAGTGCTAAAATAAATCATTATGTGATGCACTCAGCAAGAAAGATAAAACTAAGAATGCAAATTAAACATGCCAGAAAATAAAAGTGTTTACATCAACCAAGGACAACAATAAAATACACCCTCACACAGATTAAAACATTGTTTCTAAGATCATGTAGTTCAAAAATTTACACGGGGGAAAAAATACGTTAGGCTGTTCAATAAATGAACAGAAACTGGTTTAAGAGATATTCATTGGAGAGAAATCAAGTAATGCCACAGTCAGCAAAATACCATTACATCCAATGTCTTAATCAGAAAAAGGGGATCCCAAAGAGCCAGAACCTCTGGAACGGAACACAGAAAACTTCAGACGTTAGTTAGAACTCAGGAATGAATGTTAGTACCCTAGACACATTCTAGGTGCTATCTGATGACACACTCTTGACTAACACTTTTTTAAATACTGAAGATTTTTTAAAAAGACAAAAACAATTGTGCCTTTGATCAGTGTTCATTCAATAGACCTGTATTAAGCACTTATGTGCAATGTGCTTAGAAAGAAAAATCCTATTTGGCACAAAAAGTAACAGAAAAAAAAGAAAGAAGGACTGTTTAAAAACTGAAAATCCCCTAGAAGTAAATAAGGAAGCCTGCCATTCATGGCACATTGGAGCAAAGTAGAAAACAATAATTAAAGCAAATTCTAGTAACTCTCAAAATGAAATTCCAATGGCAAAACAAACACATACCCTTAAAAAATAATGGCCTTCACTGTGCACTTACTCCTCATGTAGGATCTCTGTCCTTAATGTGCTGTACATTGAGATTTAATGCTATAACTAGTACTCAAACAGTATTTTTCACTTTATGTTTCTGTGTGGGAGCAAACTGTTGAAATCTTTACTTAATGTATGCTAAACTGATCTTCTGTATATAAAGAGAATTGAAAATGAATCTTGATG